TTTTTTTTTTTTTTTTTGTGGGGCATTTTTTTAGTGTAATGATATATAACAATAAAATAGGACAATAAACTATTGATCTACATTTCAACAAGTTAAATCAGAAAATTGAGATAATTGGGAGAATTTTTCATAAGGAAGCTTTTTTTTTTTTCTCAAAAAGGCTTACATGCTGAGCTTTTGATTTGGGCCCTATATAACTGGGCCGAGGCATTTAGAGGGACATAAACTGGTGCTGTTGGGTTTATAGTACAGCCTGGGCCTTGGTACAATTGGCCTCTTATTTTCTGTGCTCAAAAGGAAATTGTCATAACAATAATCATTTCTCTCTAAAAGTTCTATGTATAGTGGGTTTGATAAACACCATAACCTAGCTTATAGCTTATAGTTTCTTTGGTTAGCTTATAAGCTTTTTTGTAGATAAATAAGTTTGGTTTGATATTAAAAGGTTTTTAAAAAGCTCGAGCTTATCTCATAAGCTTCTTTGAGTACCTTTTCAAATAAGCTCATTGAAATTTTTATATCAGTTAGCTAATTTTACCAATCACTTATATCATATCAACTAGTTTTTCAACCCGACTCAATCCAATAATCATTAAAGATTCATTTTGAGGTTTTACATAGAACAAACTTGAAGGGAGTAACTGTAACAGGGAGAAAACTAGACTTCTTTTTGTAATTATGCCAAATCTCAGTTTTGGTATTTATAAATATGAATCATCTCCACTGAATATAGCAGGGGACAAAATTAAATTACCTAAATGGCATTACTCTGAAGTGTGTTCTTTAAGTCTTTACTACTGTGAACGAAAAGAGAAGGATAAATGAAAGGAGGAAAATTTTGAAGTTTTAAATTTTAAGAAAGATCAAAAGTTTCAAGTAAACAAACAAGATAATTAAACCTGATTTCTTCGAAAATACTTGATGCGTTCGCTGCAAAATCATATCTTTTTACGCAAGCGAAATTATCGACTTAAACCTGATCAGCACACGCCTACTTGCTTTTATGCCCATACCAGCAACGACTAAGTACTAACTATTGCTAAAACGGTAGCTAAAAAGACACTAACTCACGACTAACAGTTAAATCTAGTCAGCGTCACATTCGGAGAAACTAGATCAGAATAAAAGGAATAATCAGTGTCCAACTCGGAAAACGAAGCAGTGGTGTTTAAAGTGACCACAGATAATCAACTTTTCTCACTATTGATACATGTATGTGTTACTTCTAAATCATATCAGAAATCAGAATCATAAAAACTTTTCTACTCTGAACCATTTCAAATTCCCTTAACGAGCATCAATGGATTCCGCCAAGTAAAGTGACAAATAAACTACTACTGAGAGTTTTAGATGAACAAGAAATCAAGCAAGCAACATAAAAAATA